AAATGCTTGGAGTTTATCTTATAGTTTACTTTACGCCAAACAAGATCAATCGTATCAATGGTTATCAGTCATTCAATCTGGCTTAATATTAACAGCTATTTTGTTATATACACATTCGTCTATTAAAATTCATGAAAAATCTCTTGAATCACTAGCCACTGTGTATAAGTTATCCCTCAGAACAGACTCCATGACCCTTCTCAATGAGGTTGGTGTTTTCATTCATGATTTTTATCCGATTCTGTTCCAAGTTAATCAAAATCATTTTCTGTTTCTCTTTCAGATTTCATTGTTTCTCAAACATGAAGAAATCGGATTTACATTCGGAGGAATATTCATGTTAACGACTTCGTCCCTTTCGAGTCTGTTCAGTATCTTGATCACTGTTATCATCGCTCTTCCATCATTCTCTAGGTAAAAGCAAGTTATCTAATCTGAATGAATTTTGTGGAAACAATTGATTTTTAAATGTATTAATAGTTAAATTTTATTTCCTAATGACAATAAAATTGAATTCTTGTAGACATTTCATAGTAACGAATATGATAACTTGATCGCTATCGATATCTCAACTAATTTCTTCATTCGCTATTCAATATTATAGATGTTCTGTCATTGTAGAGATTCAAAACTAAATTAACCAACAATTCAAATCCAATTTGCATTTGCATGAAGTTTAAAGTTGGCAGAGTCATCTAGTGAAGGATTATGCTACTAAAAATCGTCTTTATTTGAAAGCAATTTTTCATATTTTTGACTCAATTTGGTTTTCAAATTGTTCAAATTGCAAAGATAATTGCTGTGAAATCTTTCTTTTTATAGCTAATCAATAGACTATTTGAACGATTAGTTTAAATCACAATTAACCTGATTTTGAGAAAAGGTTGAAATGGTTAAATATCAATGTTATTATAAAATCGGGACAATTTAGTGAATCTTTTCACTGACCAAACACTTTGGTCTGTCACTACAATTAATAAGCAATTTAATGATCAAGTCTAGTCGATTTGATCAGTCACAATCCAATTTAATTGACGAAAAACAGTCCAAATGCAATGCAATAACATTTTTGATTACATTAATGATGGTAATGATTTAATTTGAACAACAAATGACCGTAAGCACTTCCGATTACTTTCACTTGTTGTTGACCCTGTTTAAAAGATGATCATTCATAATCAAATAACACAATCCCTTCAGGGTGATTGACATTAATCAACCGTTTAAACGATAAAAACAATTGTTGATTAAGAGGGAAAGTTGATAAAGAAAAAGAAGAAGAAATCAGACAAATTAACTGTCCATTCAAGATGGACTTGTTAATTTGTGTAATGAGTAGCAATTGAGATGAGATATCAAGAATATTAAACCTGACAAGTGAAAGATTTCAATATTTTTCCGGGTAAACGTTAACAATTATCCAAAAATCATCATTATCAACTGATTAACAAATGAACACGCAAAAATATAAATAAATTGTTCACGGTCCAGTCTACTTTTTACACTCAACACTTGTCTAACAAATGCTGGCAATTCAATGGGATAATAATGGCAATCAATAAAAAAGATGAATATTTTGCAAAACCTTAATCAACCTTTTCTTAATGAGTACAATACAGTAATCATTATCAATCTTGACTTCCCGATAAATCATGCTGATTAAATGAATTAAAAGTTCCGGTTAATATCTAATTTACTTCCTTTAGCTTTTCTTGTTTCTGCCATTTATTGTAAACTTGATCCTTGCCAATCAACATCATCATGTCAACAGCAATTGGAAGCAACAATTGAACAATTGGTAAACAAATCACACTTAGCTGAATATATTACATCTTTAATTTTACCTTCAATGTTCACCATTATCAACACGTTTAATCAACAGTTGAAAAGGTGAATCGCAAGGCAACTCTTAAAATAGCAACTGGACATGCTTTAGCCAATAGTCAATTGACAATTTCATGGCGATTGAAGCTACTGATTTTTGTTAAAATTAACCAATTGTACTTCAAACATTTTACACCAAATTGTTAGTCACCTCATTATAAGCTAATCGTAATCGTCAAAATTGTTGTTACCCTAAAAGTAGCTGTTAATACATTTAACTCAATTGACCAATAAGCAAAAGAAGCAACAGCAACAACCAGAAAACTGGTAAACCCAAAAAAATTTCATTCTAAACCCAAATAGAGAATTGTAATTTTGATCAAATTATCACCCAATTTTAACCTTTTTTATTGTTTCAATTGTACAATATTTTTATCCATATACACAAGAATACATTAATCACAAGTTAATTGACAAGATAATGATGTTGATGATTAACGGCTTCAAACTGGATTCACTATTAGACTTAAACAGTGTCACGGTATCAAGACAATCCTTTTTTTAACGGTTACATTATACTGATGAGTTGACTGTTTCCAAACTGGTCAAATCAAAGTGACCATTTAAATTGCGATTAAAACCTTTTCATCCTCTTTTGACAAGGTATTTGCCAAAATTGGGATAATCATCATCATTATCACCATTATAAGCATCAGCTAATTTGAAAGTGAAAATTTGACAGACACAATGAAACCTAAATAACAAGTAGCAAGTTAAGTAGCAAGTTTAACACCTTGAAAAATCATCCTTTTCAGTCAATCTTTTTACATTACAATTACAATTGTTACACTTTGAATCAGCTGACAAACTTGACCATTTGATCAAAGCTAATTTCATCAGTTACATGAGATCACCACTGAGTGCAACATGGTATCATAATTACAATAATTTAATAGCGTATCTAATAAGTCCTTTATTTTTGCTGCAACAAACTGTTTTAAATATGACAAAAAGAGATATTTTTAAAGATTTTTTAATCATGATTATTATGATTGCTGTCTTTTATTTTATTATACATTTTTTGGCTCTTTTTATACGCAATTTTAGGGTCAAACCACAGGGTTAAATGGTCAATAATCAACTAAATAGGGAAGCTTTTTTCATTCACAGGCCATATCATTAATGCGTTTTGTATGGTTTATTGATTTGCCTTGCTTTTTATCCAAGTCAACATTTAGCTGATTGTAAATGTTGATTTGCGTGGTTTAACTGCTGTTAGTCAGCCTTAAACTTCACTTTGATGGTAAAATAATCATCAAAAATGATCATCATAATAAGGTTTCAACAGTTTCAAGATTGGAACATGAAAAAATGTATTTTTATCAACTTTCAATTTTTCCATTGAAAAGTCAAAAAGGTTTAAAGCTATTCATTTGATGAGTTATACAGAGAGATGTTTATTGATTATAACAATAGGGTCAATAATTATTGATGTTATATTGGTTAAATTACTGATCCTGAATTGTTAAAATTTGGCGAAAAAAGGGAAAAATCGAAAATAACATTTCTAATGTTAGATTGGTGAACAATTTGATAATTGATCATAAAAGGTTAACATCATTCAATTGTATTTTCATGTATTTTTATACTATTGCAAGTTATCAGACTCACGTAATTTACAATCAAAGTAATACATCTTTTAGTATATTATTAACCATTAATAGACATAGAGACATTAATTGTTGGCAAACTGGTTTCTTAAATATTCAATATTTCAAGCTGAAAATTTCAATTCTGATGAATTGTTTATGTAAAGTAAAATTCACCAAAAAGAGAAGGAAATTTACATAGAAATGTGAGTTTTCCCTTTTTTGGGTTTCATTGCAACTTCAACCATTAAGATTGTTTGTGAAGGAAAATTTGGGTTGAAAACCCAAAACCAGATTCAATGGTTTGAGTAAATATTTGAATACATTGGATTTGAATGATTTGGTAAACAAAATGTTTATTGTGAATGGGCAACGACGAAGGGCAAAGTTAATGGTAATATTTCGCAGTAAAGTACGCACCTTCAAATGAGCGTGTTTATCAATAATCATTGAAGAGAAACGAAAATTTTAAACTCACTTTCTCGCCGTCATTATTATCATCATGTCTTCCTGACATACTGTTGATAAAGCTGTATTGACAACAAATTTCAAAAGTCTGAAAGAGAAACCATTTTTAGGCTATCAAAGTTGATCACAATCAAATAATCAAATTGTCATCGATTTAATACAAGTATGTTTGGTACACAAGAAAACATTTAACCCTTGAATGTGATCAAAAGTGATCGGAGGTTAGCTATTTACAAAACAATTTGATGGTGCTTCACGTTTTGGTCATTAGACTGACATTGACACTGGATGTTGTTTTGTAAAATCAATTGTTGAACTGGTTAATAGATCAATTTGGACAATCAATTTTGATAGATTTGATCAATTCAATCACTCAACTTGCTGGACATTTATTGGCTAAAATTGGTTCAAATGAAATGGAAATCAATTGCTTCTGGTTTAATTTGAATGGTTATTGTTTGAATTTTTGAACGATTTCATTAGCATTCATTTTGGTTAAATTAATTCATGATTTATCCCTATTTAGGCCTTTTTAGGCCTTTATTTTATTGTTTTGTGGGTAATCCAGATAGGTAATAATATATGAGATGTTCAATTGGGAATCTTAAATGATGACCATTGTATTATGATTAGCCAATGATTGACACTTTTATCTACAGTTGAACATCTTTTTTGTCTTATTAATGCGAAAGCTGTCAATGAAAAATTGAAAATTGAATTGGATTAAAGATGTATTTTTATAACTCTTCCACTTTCTTCATGTTATTGGATTAAAAGCAATGAATCAATTGTCTACTTGACCGAGTTTTCTGAGTCATCACCATCACACTAACATTTCCTTTTTTACCTTCTTAAGTAGAAGTGATTGTTTGCAAAAGCATAACTTGATTTAGCAATTCAATCATCTGTTGACGATTATTACATCAAAGTAGACGATAAATGAATCAAGTCTTTAATGAAGGGAGAAATGTTGAATTATTTAGATAAAATAATCTTATAAACTAACGTTGATAATATAATTATAACAAGTATCAAAATAAAAATGAAAAAAATACTCACTTTCTTGGTAAGTTACATAGAAGACAAACAATAAACAACCAAATATGGATAAAAATCGGTTAAACATGGTTATGGATTGGATAAATTAGATTGCTATCAGAGTTTTTGATGAAAGAATTAGTCAAATAATTAAAAAATCCGCTGTCAGTTGAGTTAATAATTGGTTGAAACAAATGTCACACTAGAAGTGGTAAATCTGGTAAGCTGGTGAACAAAAAAGTGAATCACTGGTTAAGTTGATCACAACAGTAAACACTTGTCTCCAAGATGGTGATAATGGTTGAGGATAGACATATTGAGTCACGTAGTTATACACTTATAATGGTGGATGGGTTAATGTCAAGCAATTTGTTGATCATTTGAATCGGTTAGTTACAACATTGACAAAAAAGGTTTGCTTTAGTGGAGATACAAAAATGTTCATGGATACACTGGTTATGGTTAACCATTTCTTGTCAACTGTTTTTACCGTTTCATCAAATAATTTTCATCAAATGAACTCTCACTAACTTTCTCTTCTTCTTTCCCTTCTATTTAGCTCTTTAGTTTTTCTTTTCCCTCCTTTTAGCTTCTCTTTCTTTTCTTACCTTTTTTCTCTTCACCCTCAACTTTTACATCATCATTACCGTTCACTTTTCTTTTGACTGTTGTTTGTTTCAAATCATAATTTCAAGCTTGACTACGAAAACTCGTTCCTTAATATTTGTGACAACCCTCAATACAAACTCAATCTTTCTCCCTGCTCCTTACTTTCTCTTTTACTCTTCATCATCCAACTTCTCCTCCTTCACACCATCACCACCACCACCATCATCATTTTCATCATCTTTTGTATTTACTCACTTCATTTCATTGTGATGTTTATCTTTCTTCATTTTAGATCTCCTCCTCTTCATCTCCATCTTCACCCGAATCGATTGGGGGTTTACAAGCAATACCGGAATCTTTCCTGGTGCGATTCTGCTTCAATTGTTCACCGATTAAACAGACATGGAAACTTTCGTGAATTTTCACTCTCGGGGTCTTCATCCTGTTGATTTCTGGTAGTAGCTTTAATTTTTCACTTTTTTATTTTGCATATATTTAAATTTATTAGAATAGGTTCAATATCGAAGGATGAACAAAGAATATTGTGGAAAATATCTGCTATTCAGAATATTCAAAGACCATTCAAAGATGTAAGGAGCTAACTCTTAAACGCGTTGTCCAACCTAAAAAGGAAATGACTTGAAAGTCAAGCTTACAATGAGCTCGCTTATTTACTGGTTATTTATTTGACTATATAAATATTGATACTAAATGATTAAATACAAGTAAATGTAATAGCATACTAGCTTTTGTCTGTCTAGAGTTATTGGCTCAATTAAACAAGTGGAATGGCTAAAAATCCAAGCAGAGTGGTTGGTAAAAAAGTAACAGAACTTATTGATGCCTCTTACAATACAAAAAATCCCAAAATTTTATGCGTCGGCGACTTGCTTGGACAAAAAGTAAAGGAATTTATCAAAATAGTTTTGAAAATTGTCTTTTATATTCAACTGTTAGATGGTGCCTGTAAGTCTAGCCTGACTGTCTCAATTTAATTTTAAAAAATTAGTCCAAGACATTAGGAGTCACCTTAAGAGAACTTCTGAATTTTAAATACCAATAAGAGGAAACCTGGCTATAAATCTTCCGCTATTTCTGAAATCGTCAAATACAATGCTATTGTAGACCTAAGATTTCAAATGTTTAAAAATGTCCGTTTGATTTACCTTAGGAGACTAGTTGACACCAAAGGTGAAATAGATACTAACCTTCATTTTAACTCTCAATTAAAACCTGACGAAAGTATTGATAAATTTTCTCCGTAAATTATTAAGGCCAATTTTTCATTTAAACGATGTATGAATCAGCTCGTGAATCATGCATCATTTTATTCAATTTGTCTCATTTGCTATAAAGTTCTTTTATCACCACTCATTTATTTAACTTATTGGTTAGTTAGTCTTAGGTCTATTCTTACAGTTATTTCAAGTTGTGTCTGGTAATATACCTTTATAATGAAGAGGGTTAATTTTTTGAATTAATATTAGCATAAATGTTATAAAAAAATGTTGATCTGAGTCAAACGATGTTTCTCCCTCCGCTTTTCTTTACTCCATGCCTGGGTGTCTTTGGTAAATTATCAAGCTGCCTACACTTTCCACGGCGGTTGATTGTAAATCGCTTAAATCACAGATAAATTTCGAGTCAATTTAAGAATCAGGAATATTTTGAGATCTCCGTTGGGATTGGATGATGAAGTTTAGAATTAGTTATGAATGGAGATTTATTAAGGGTTAAATAGATATTACAGTAAGCTCCTCAGTCGATTATCTTTAAAATTTCTTTATGCTTTCTTAAAATGTAATTTGTCTGTTGAAAAAAAATAAATCTTAAATTTTTTTGAAGGGAGCATGAGATTTCATTCAAGATTCTGCAGCATTATTTTATCGTTTCACTCGTTTCTTGAGTGGTTGCGGTAGGCTTATGGCTCGTTTTTTTACTACGAAATATTCCGTTGGCCATATCTTGCACTACGTGAGACTCTAATTCAGGGTGTTTAGAGATACGTGAAAGTTTGGTTGATCCATACTTTTTGCGGCAAGACTAATTAGAATAAAATGAAAATTTTTGTTAATTTTGATGATTTGGGTTAAAATAATGAAAATGAAATACTTACTTGATATTTAGATGTAGGAGCTCTGAGAATTATCTTACAAAGAGTTTGAACATAAGGATGAAGTTGCTCTTCACCGTATTGACTGTAAAATTTGAGCGTTGCATTCCAGGAGCTGCCTTCTCCAATAATTTTAAGTGTTGTGTATAAAGCTGTGGCAGCCACTAATGAAGGCTCCCAATGAGCACATTCGTATTCAATGAGGCACAATTCCATTAAATACTTGGCCATTGTATGTATCACAGCATCAGCATGGGCAGCTTTAGACATTCGGCGGAGAAAATGAAGCGGTAACGGTCGTCCTAATTCAAATTTTAACCCTTTCAATATGGCTATCTCCATTTTAATTATGTCTTTTTTATGATATAGATTGTCACACATTGAAACAAAGTCGTTCATCTCTGGAGGATAGATTTCCTCGTACTTTGAAGCGATGAACATGGATGTAATACCAACCAATTGAACCTTATTTTTAGCAATATTTTCATTCTGTACAAATTCAAGAAGAGCAAAATAAGAATTAGATTCAGAAGAATATTATTAAGGGGATGAAGTCACAAGATGTTACCTGGCAAAATCTATCGAGTATTCCAACAGTCATATATAACGTTTCAGGAGTTAAATGAAATTGGTAGTGAATACTAATCAACCAGTCAATCAGAATCGATCTCATCTTCGGAGTATATTCTTTCTGAGACATTAAACAGTTTGGTTTTATTTGATATTTAGCCTGAAAATTTAAAGAAAAAATGATCAATGAAAGAAAAGTTGACGAATAAAAATTATTAAAACGTATATATACGTAGTATAATACGTATGTAAAAAAAGCCAATTGAAATAAAATTCTAGTTTACCTCAAGGTGCCTTAAATATTTGTAGATGTCATTAACATAATCAGTGGTCAGAAAAACATTTGACTCGTCATTTTCATCAATATTTTCAACGTCTTGAGGAATAACAGAGAAACTTGAGAAATTTTTAGTGGCTCTCTTTGCAATGACCTCAGCGATACCAGAAGGTTTCATGCTAAGACGCGGTATTCTGCTGACAACTTTATCGACTTGATTGTCTCCAACAACAGGCTTGGCACCCAATTCGGTAGCACTTTGGGAATTTTTGATACCAGCTTTAAGCTCGGCTGTAGAGTCAACGGCCTGGTTAGATGAAAAATTATAATGAAAAAGGTCAAATCAAGAACATAAGAGACATAAGATCTAGAGACGATCAATTTAATTGATATCGAGTAATCCAAATTTACCTTGCAAACACGCTTGACCGGCTCAGGCAATTCATCCTTTAGAGGCTTCAATGACAGTTTGGAAGCATCATTGATAACTTTATTATGAATATTGGTGGTTGGCTGAAGAGCGGTTCTCTTGACTTGGTTAACTAGAGAGCCATTACTAATGGCAGATCTCTTAAACAGCATTCCTTGCCCAGCCTTATTTTCGATATTAGGCTTATTTAATAAATTTGAAGTCTAGAAAGCACAGAAAAAATAAAAGATTAAAAATCAGTTGAAATTAGGAATAATTGAAATAAACAAGTCTTTATACTTGAAGGCGCGCCATTTTTTCACGAGAGCAACCACAAATTGATGGCACAATGGAAAGGTCACCATAAAGGATAAAAGGTCAGAAAATGTAACAATGTTTATACTTACAAAACGGTTTCTTGCAATATCCATATTTACAATCAAAATTTAATCGTTGAAATATTGAAAAAATTGACTTGCAAACAAAAAGGGTTGAAAAAAAGTAAAAAGTAGGAACTCAATAAGAGGACTTTAAAAAGTTGCAAAAGGCAAAGAAACGAACCCAGAGTTGGATAGATTTCTCAGTTAAGAAAATATCATAAAAATTATATAAAATAATAAAAAACAAGGTTCACAATTGGAAATGAATGATGAAAAAGATAGATGAAAGTGATTGAAGATGACAATAAGTTTGTCTTTAAAAAGGAAAACGAAACAATTTTAAATTTAAATCTACAAAAAGCGGTTATATCGGTAACCAATAACATCCACAGATTCACGAAGAATCACACCAAAACTAACGCCATCTAGCGACACCCAAATTTTTGGGTATTTTCTTATCTTTGGTAAATGCCAAAGATTAAGCCTGATTGTATGCGTGAAGTCAATATTTTTATGCTAATTCAATTTTCCCTGACAGTTTATCAACTGAATACTGAGCCCGCAGCTTTAGTATATGTTAGAGCCTTCGTCCACATGTTATTCGATAGACAATGTTTCTTTCTATTTTTGTTTGGTGTGCTACCGGATTCCTCTTGTGATCAGATCACATGGAAAGATTTGTCAAGAAAAATTATGAAGATCTGAAAGTGTTACGTTTTGTTACAAATGTTTCTCAATCTCCATTAAACTAAAAAAATTCTTGATGCATCTTGACATCATTTTGATAGGTAAGATAATAAAATGTGGAAATAAGATAATGGTTTGTAATAATTTAGTACTAAAAAATAACATCTGAACCAGAAGTTATACCCTAATGATGACCAAGCCACAAAATTATGTTTAATCCATTTTAGAATAGATTCCTGCAGTTTAATCCAACATCTCTGTCACCTGAGCAATCATACTGATACACTTCTCTCTGGAATTATTGAGAAAATTGGATAAATTGGTCTGATTTGGAACCAAAGCTAAGTTTTTAGTATAAAGGGTATAAGTAAAAGGGACAGAACTTGTTGAGACCCTCAATACGTTATCTAACTGAAAAACTCGATGCTGATATAATATTAATTGGAACACATTGAATGACAGTGTAACAGATAGTTTAAACTCAAAGGTATTCCCTGAGGCCATTTGAAACAATGGCAAAAAAATTGGACAAAAACAATTTAAACTAAAAGATGATATTTAAATGTAAAGTGAACCAGAGGTTAAACCAAACATGATGTTGGTGAAAGGAGGAGGGTTAAAGAGAGAAAAGGAAAACACACTTGGAGGGAAAATTGAGATTATAAGAGCCAATAATCAACACGCGGGAATCAAACAATAAACAGTACCAGACTCACCAAAAAACCGCCAAGTGTATTTCAGTCAACAATGTGCTGTCTGCTGCTGCTGCTAAAGCTCTGGTAACAGAGTTACTAAACTCTTAGCCAATGATGTTGTGTTATTTAACCGGGAAAAGGTAACCCAAGTTTGAGCGGGTAAAAAAACTTTGTTAAATGGATTGGCGCTATTTAACTAGACTTTCTCTCGCATTTGCAGACTTGGTGAGTGTTAGACCAAATGATCTTTTTAACTAATTTTTTAATTCAATTTTACCCTTTTCTCAGTTTGTTTTAACCTTTTATTTTGCTTTTTCGTCTAATTTCTATTTGGATTACTGTAACCATTTAATTTTGTGACTCTCGTTGTATTTTATAACATTGTATCTTTAAAGTTGTAGCAAACAATGGAATCAACGCCAATTAATGCTAATAAAACACGTAGTGAAAGTGTTATCATCTATGCAACAAGTAAGGATTCAACTAATTCCGATATTAAGGACATTGATAATGGTGATGCCAGTGATTGTAGTTCTGTGCAACAAATACCATTCACTTTAATTCAATCGCCGATATCTGGTTCATCTTCACCACCTATTTATTACTTTGATAGTAATGCTCTTACCCAATGTAATGTTGTCCTTGGCTCCGGTTGGAATAATTTGGATTCTGATAGACCTACCGACACTTCGGAATCTTCAATAAATTTATACGATGTTGGATCGACAATTCAGTTGAGTCCTGTTTCTGAAAATGATTGTTCCGAAAATCGACTAAACGACTCTCACCGAACCAAATTGAAACGAGGTCGACCTAAGTTGGAAACAATCACAAGTTTAATTGAGACAAGCGATGAGCTGATCGGGTCTACCATTAAGTGTAATATATGTAAACGAACATTTCCTCGAGAAAAATCACTGCAAGCTCATATTCGGATACATACAGGTGAAAGGCCGTATATTTGTGACTTCCCAGATTGTGGTCGGAGATTTGCTCAGTCAGGACAACTAAGAACTCATCAGAGGCTTCATACTGGTGAAAAACCCTTTGTTTGTAATTATGATGGTGAGTTTGATTCTTTTAAAATCCTAAATTTTATCGTGAGAATTTATTAATATCTTAAACAATCTCGATTTTCGATGCACCAACTAATCATATCTTTACAAATCTCTTTTGCTAAATTTAGGCTGCGAAAATCGATTCACCCATGCTAACAGACGGTGTCCAGTTCATCCTATGGTCGGAGTATCGAGAATTAAGGATTTAGGTTCTCCTTCTAAAGTCCTTAAATCGAATTCATCTTTAAGCAATGCAAGCAAAGAAATTATTGATTGGCTAACAGATTATTACAGATCGATAAAAAGGCAAGGTCTGAAAAGGACTAAAGATAGTTGTAGTCGGCCTTTTAAAGCTCGTAAGTTAAATCTTGATCTGGACGCCTCCGATGCTGGCTATTCATGTGAAGAAAACTCAACTCCAGTTTGGAAAAAGAAACGAGCAGCTCTTGAATTAGCAAAGAGAGATCTTTCTCATGAAAATGATTCAGATGCTGGAACAATTACTGATAATAGCAGTCCAACCAAGAGATCAGATTATGGGGTGAACAAAATAAACTTGGAACAACTGAGTAGTGACAGATTGATGGGTGCTTTGGCTTTAATGGAGCTTGCTAACTGTCCGGTAATGAACCTCCAAGTCAATCACAATGGTTCCTTCCAAGAATCATTCGACTCAGGGTTTCAGCATTCAACATTCAATTCAACATTTAATTCGAGCCTCAATGATGTATCCCGAACACATAACTACTCGAAAGATGTAGATGATCTCATTTTATCTGAAAAGAGTACGCATTTACAAACTTCTGACACTGAAACAAACTAATCAATTCTGATTTTTCGTCATTTTAAAATATCATCATCATCTCTATCATCATTCGTAATTTCATCCCTTACAAAAATTCGCATTAAATCCATGAAGCGGTGCCAGTTCGTCTTATAAAATGTCTAGAGCTGATTGAATTTGTAAAAATTTTGCTCAATGACTATCTCAAAGAGATAAACACTCAATTTTTGGTATAAATATTTCCTGGTAGCCATTTAAATCAAAGACGTTAAGCCTTAAAATCATATTGATGAGCCGAATCATCAAAATCAGAGTTTCTTTATCGATCTTCGCTCGAAGAAATTTTCCTTTTGTATAACTTAACTTTCCTTCTCTTTCGTCTCATACTGATCAAATTGATAAATTGAGTTGATTAATATCCGTTCAAAATATTGATGACCTCGCATTTACTTCTATCAATAGATGCAAATCTTTATATTACATTATATAAATATACTGTAATGCTGTGTACTTTTAAAATACTCCATTTGTAAACATTGAATAAATTTATCACTGTGAACTTTATCAAAGATTTCAATTTTTATTGTTCAGCTTTCGTCTGAACTCAATACCATTCGAAAAATAATACCTTCAACTTATCTTGAACTTGCTTGAAAAACCTTCGTTTTCTTTAATACTAAATATTTCGGATTTACAAGAAATTTGATGGTTATTTGCTTGTTTAATCATAGATTCTCGATTTATAATCATAATCTGGCTCAGAATATCAGTACCACTGATTCAGTGTATCATAAATTATTAATATTTACTATGATCATCATAGGATCTAACAATGGTAAATTATCAATCAGCTGGTTAGAAGCTTGGAAAAGGCTTTTTTTGCTCACATGTTTTGTCCAAAGACCAATTTGTTAATAAAATGACCTGGTGATTGTCGCTCAGTTTAAATATTTTTTTGGCCATAAACAAAACTAAATATTTGCTCATCGACTCAACTTCAATTCAAGCGATAGTTTCTATCCAAATCCTATAGAATTTTGTTCTTTTTAGCTCAAGCAGTTTGATAAAAGGATATTTCTGTTTTTCAAGTAAGTATGTTTTATATTCAAGTAATCTTTTATCAATATTATGAATTTCATTGGAATGAAGTACCATTTCCGATCTCATCTGTATACCTTATATTATCTATTAATTCATGGTTGAATATCATATTCTTGTTTTTTAGGTTATTTGTCCTACAGTCTCAATTTTAAAGTGATTCATCAACGGGGTGACTGGATTTGACCAAGTTCATAATATTCTCATTGGTATCTACCCTGTTTTATTAATTCAGCCTTTTCTCCGGTCAGATATGTCTAGGAAAAACGAAAGTGAGTATAATTGATTTTCCCAAGACCCACTAGCATTCAGTTTTGTTCAGTGACTTACAACTTTTGCCTTATCATTAATATTCTGTTTCTGAATACTGTCAATTATTCATTTGTTTCAAAGATGAGGATGTCATAAACTCTGCCGACTCTAAAGAGCTCGCTCATGACATGAAAGAAGTCAGTGATAACTCCACTTGTGATGATAGTGAAATGAAAAGCAATCAAACACTCCGTGCCAAATTCCGTCAAGATTTTCTGGATACTTTATTGGCTCTACGCGATAAACAAGTGGACATTGTGATGTACGAATCTGGTTTTTCCTCTTTGAAAGCACAATACATAACAAGCGATGCAAACTTTAATTACTTGATCGTTGAAAATCTGAATACAGCCATAGGAGTTGTACCTAATGCAATCATCAGGAGTCAAGACTGTATTTCTCTGAGTTTTAACCTTGATTAATGATTACAATGTCTATCTGTTTGTCGATTTGTTAACCGCCCAGTACCCAGTAAGATCATTATTCATCCCTTGTATTAATGGATTCCCGATGTGCTTTTAGTTTTCCCATTAAACCATTTATTTTTTATTCTAATCGTACGTCAATATTCCTATCTCTCTGTTTCTTGAACCATATATTTCCTCAGATTTGATTGAAGAAGGCTGGCGCGAAGAAAGACCCGAAACAAATGATTCTACATCAGTCACTTATAATCCGAATCGAGGAATACCGATTGACCAACAAAGATTTCGATTACCAATCTATGAAGTAATTAAAAAGCCTATCTGAATCTCACAAATTGTCATTCTGTTATCTTAACATTTTATTTCTTTTTTAGTACAAAGATCATATTCTCTACTTGACAGAGAAAAATCAAGTTTTAATCGTCCGAGGAGAAACTGGATGTGGTAAAAGTACTCAGATAGGCCAATATTTAGTTGATGCAGGCTGGACAAAAGGAAATGACTCCCCACTAGTCGTAGGGATTACTCAGCCTAGACGAGTTGCTGCAACATCTTTAGCCAAACGAGTAGCCGAAGAGAGAGGATGTCACTTGGGAAAAGAAGTTGGTTATAGCATACGATTCGATGACTGTTATGAACCTGGTACTACGCACATTAAATATTTAACCGAAGGGATTTTGATTCGCGAAATGATGAGTGATCCATTATTGCAGAGCTATTCGGTTGTTATGGTGGATGAAATACATGAAAGAACTTTACAGACTGATGTGCTTCTTGGTTTGATGAAAAAAATACTCCGTAAAAGACCAGAATTTCGTTTGATTGTTGCATCCGCGACGGTGGAAGTTGAGACAATGGAAAATTATTTCACTGAAGATGGCCTCAAAACAACCAATATATCAATAGAAGGGAGAACTTTTCCAGTAGAAATATTTTATTCTAATGAACCAGTAGCTGATTATCTCAAAGCTTCTGTTGATGCTGTTATCAAAATTCACGAAACTCTTAGTCTTGGAGATGTTTTGGTATTCTTGACTGGCCAAGAAGAGGTAGAAAAGGCTTGCGAAACTTTGTTGGATTATGCTAGAGGAATAAAAGACAATCCCGATCACAGGAAAATGTTTGTTTTGCCCATGTATTCATCATTGCCATCACAAGAACAACTCAAAGTATTTGATGTGTTTCCTCGATCAGTACGAAAAGTTGTTGTCGCTACCAATGTAGCTGAAGCTTCAATTACCATAAACGGAATTGTTTACGTCGTAGACAGTGGCTTTGTAAAATTACGATACTACAATCCAAAGACTTGTACTGACTCTTTAGTCGTTGTTCCCATTTCTCAAGCATCAGCTGCTCAAAGAGCCGGGCGAGCTGGTCGAACTAAACCTGGCTCTGCTTACCGTTTGTACACTGAAAATGATTTCAAAAACTTGGAGCCATTCACATGTCCGGAGATACGAAGATCTAGTTTGGCTCCCGTGATTCTTCAATTGAAAGCTCTTGGTGTCAATAATATTCTTAAATTCAGTTTTCCCAGTAAACCTCCCGAGTATAATATTATTACCGGTCTCGAACTACTTTATGCCTTAGGAGGGCTCGATGATAATGGTCATCTAACAGACCCTCTTGGCCTACAAATGGTTGAATTTCCACTAGAGCCTATGTTCGCTAAGATGCTCCTCATCTCTGGAGAAATGGGTTGCTCCGAAGAAGCTCTAACCATTGCCGCTATGACACAAGTACAAAATGTTTTTGTTCAGCCATCGTCTGGACAACGTTCGATTGCTGCTCGAAACTGTAAACACTCATTTGCTGTGGAAGAAGGTGATCTGATTACTTATTTAAATGTTTACAATGCTTTCATTAAAGCTGGTAAAGTGAGAAGCTGGGCTGACTCGAAATATCTAAATTATAAAGGGACTTTTAAGAGCAGTGGAAGTCCGAGCAGATTACTCAGGTTGCTAAGACGTTTTGG